CCCCAGGGACCAGGAATATTAGCCGTTCATCCTGCTTCCTTCCAGAGACATTGTACCTTCCCCACCAGGGCCTTCCTGCTGGCGGCATCCAGGGCACACGGCCTTTGCTCCGTCCCTCCGGCCTGGGGCGCGGCAGACATGGCCAAAGAGCCCTCCGGGGAGGGGGACCGGATTTCTACCCCCACCGGCGACGGGTAGGCGGGACTTTCCCTCAGCCTCGCTAATACAGCATAGGGACCAGATGCAAGGTCAGGCCCCAGGGCATCCCCGCTGAGCCTCAGCGTGGGCCCAGGAAGTGGAACCTATCTGGGCAGCCCGGTGAGGGTGCTCCTTCTGTGCGACAACCAGTCACCCAAGGCTTCCTGAGCGTCTACGCCCTGGGACGCGTCCTTCGGCCACCTCCAGCCCCTGGGCCTATGACAGATCCCTGGGGGGCCTGGTGAAAACGCAGTTTCTCTTTCAGGGGGCCCGCGGTGAGGTCCCAGGGCCTGCCGTTTTGGACGAGCGCCCGGGTCTTGGTGTCACACGCTCATCAGCAAGTGTCTAGACAGGATCCTCAAACTCCAGCATAAATAAGAGGCACCAGAGGGCTTGCCCCAAACACAGCTTCTGGGTCCGACACCTGCCCCCGGGGATTCTGATTCTGCAGGTCCGGGGTGAGGCCCTGAGAACCTTTCTTCTCAACAAGCTCCCACGTGATGCGGGTGCAGCCAGCCCCCAGACCACCCCTGGAGTTCGCGCTGGTTCCGGGCCCTGCCTAGCTCCTCTGAGCCCGTAACTGCCCGGTGCGCGACCGAGATCGGGGGCACCTCGTGGACGTGTGGTGAATGCGGTGGGAGGGAAGAGCCAGCGCGAGCCAGTGCCCGGATTCGGCTCTTGGGACTAGAAGGAGGAGGGGAGAGGTCCGCACGCCTAAGATCCATCCACGGCTCAGATCTGAGGTCTGAAGGGTTGTTATCGCCTCTTCGTTCCTCCCCGCCTTCCGACGGTGGGTTACAACTCAGTTCTCGCAGGACGCCTGCGGGGTTCCCTCCAGCCGCATTCAACTTCGTGGGTGCGGGCGTGGGGCTGGCTGTGCCCGAGGCCGGATTTTGCTGGGTGGACACCACGAGGTCAGAAAAGAGCCTGAGAGCTGAGGGTGGAGGTAAGGGGGTGGGGGACGGAGACCGGAGCAATGGCCCGTGGGGTCAGGCTGGTGGGCAGTATAAGGAAGCTGACGGTCTGTAGAAAATTGACATACCCACAGCCCCACTGGGGTCAAGGACCTGTTGGTGCCGAATGGCAGGAGAGGTGGGAGTGGGGTCAGAGGCTGGGGTGCTGGGAGCCAAGGTATGAGAGGCCACGGATGCCCTGACGGCGAGATCTGGGAGTTAGGGTCATGGGCGCGAGTGGCCGAGGAGCACGGAAGACATGGCCATGGGGGAGGGGGTTCAAGGAAGCCCTTGGCCAGAGACTGGAGGAGACCTGTACTTCGGTGGAGGGTAAAATACAGTTTCAAGGCCCCCCCCCCCCCATCCTGGGGCACACGGCCTTCCACAGCGTGACTGCACCACTCCAACTAAACCAACGTGTCCTATCTCCCGACTCCTTGGCTGTGGCTGGGCTCGGTGACGTGCTTCGACCCTCACAACGCAGCAGAGGTGACACGAGGTGACTTCTGAGGCCAGGCCTTAAGACGCTCGGCAGCTTTTGCTCACGCCCGAGCCCCACCCCTGCAAAACACAAAACAAAGCAAAACAAACAAACAAAAAAAACCCCATAAGCCCCTCAGAGCCCCCGCACCTGCCTCTCCCGGATGATTTCTGGCTGCAGAGAGTGGAGTGGGAAAGGCTGCAGGGAGGAGGTGGCCTCTTGGGTGATCCAGGCAGGGTGGCTTCTGGTCTGTCCTGGGTCATGGTCGTGCCCAACATCCTCATTCACGACGGGACATGACCCAGCACAAGAGGGCAGCTGGGCAGAATGCAGGGGACAGATTACTGGACCTACTTCCTCTGGTTTGCCAGGCTGGGTTGGCAGCACGTTGTGGGGCAAGACAGCCTGGGAGCTACCAGGCGTGAGAGCAGAGGTGGAGATTAAGGAGGAGAAAAGACTGCCTGGGGAAGAAGGGGTGGTGGAGAGAGAGGCTAGGGAAGGAGATTAGACGAGTTGTGGATAAAAGGCAGTGGTGTGGAGGGGGCAAGGGTAGGCTACTGCCTAGGGGCCACCAGTGTCCCCCAAAGGCCCTCGTGTCCATCTGTGAGACGCCCGCCAATCTGTCTTTGGTGTCCCCAGAGGGTCCCGGGGTCGGAAGCAATCTCTTTTGCCAAGTAGGCAGACAGCGTGGCCCGGGACTGGGTGGCAGAGAGAGCACTGCCAACCCCTCCCCTCCCCCGGAAATTCACCTACAGTTGTAGCACTTGACCCTGAAAGGCGTACCTCAATGACGCGCAGGCTCCGCGAAGGCAAGGAGCCTGGCCTTACCGCGTCCCGGTCAAACAGAACATAAGATTTCGGGATGTTGAGGTTGAGACAGGAAAGGAGAAGTAGGAACGGCTGCGTCAGCATCAGATGTCGCGGATGAGACCCAGAAAGGCAGCATGGGACATGAAGGAGCAGGGTCAGCAGGCCAGATCGGGGGTTGACGCTGCAGGGGGCGCCCCATTAAGGAAACAGAGGCCGAGGCAAAGTCAAGGTTAGAAGACCGTGGTGTGCACCTTCCTGACACTCCTGTCTGTTCCCACTACATCTAGGGCCACGGACACTGCCTAAATGCCCAGCCCTGTGCGCTGGTGGAGAAGAATCTCCTGGGGATGATATCCAGCGACAAAAGCCAGAGAGGAGCGGCCCTCAGCCAGTGGCGGGCAGGCAGAGATGTGATGGATACGTGCCCGGTTTCCTCAACCCTCTGGCCCCACAGTTGGGGTGACTCTGAGGGGCTCCCTGGGTCCCCCAGGGGGCCTGGGTGCCACTTACCTTCTGCAGGAGAGTCTCTATAATGCTCCCTTTCCTGGCCCCCTTTCCCCTCCCCTGCAGTGTCTCCTGGGATCCGCTGCAAATACACTACTTGCATCTGCGTTCCGTTCCAGGGTTTGCACCTAAAAGGGAAACCCAAATTAAGGCAGGCGTTGGTAATGCTTACCAAGCTCAGCAGCAAATCATTCGTTCATATGCATGTATTCATTTAACCTTCTATAAAGTGGGAATAATTAGCCTCGTTTTACGGAAGAGGAAAGAGACAATCGAACGCATAAATAATACACCCAAAGTCACCTCTTTGTCAGCCTAGTTGCCTTTTGCCTCCCTCTTCCCCCATCTGTCTGTGGACGGGCTGCCAGAGAGGGGAGGCCCGACCCCAGAAGACTCCTGGAGTGTTCCTTTGAAGGGCACACGGGGCACCTTGTCTAAAGTCTTCATTCTACGGATGAAGAAACAGAGCCTTGAAGGGACAAGTGACATTTGCAAATCACAGTCGCATTCATTTCTGAAATGGTGCTTTGCAGCAATCCTGTGAAGGCCACTAGAGTCCCATTTTACAGAAAAGGAGTGGAGCCCAGAGTGGCGGGCAGGGGGGAAGCCAGCACAGTGGCAGAGCAGGTGCTGGCGGCTGTGGGGAGAGTCGTGGGAAGCATCCTTCGTCACTCCTCCTTAGGCCAGGTGCTCTGTGACACTTTTCACCTCCAAGCTGACCTTGTGCATCCTGTGGCAAGCAAGAGTGCTTGGCGATCTCATGCGACAGAGTGGGAGCCAAGACTTGTCAAGGCGTGGTTACCCGCCCTTGTGTCAGGGGAGAGCTGGGATTTGGCCGCAGCCTCGGTTGGACCATCGCATTAAACAGGAACCTGCGATCAGAAAGAAATGGCTGAAACTCAGCCTACAGACCTGTACTCACTTCGGGCTGGAGGTTCCTTGAGATGAATCTGATTCATTCCTTGAGATGAAACTGTTCAGTGGGGTCTGCAGGGGTGGAGACCGGGAGCAGAAAGGGACAGCAAACAGAGATGGAGGACACAGGGGGCGCCAAAGAGGACCTGTCACGTCTCTCGCGCTATCAGCCGGTTCATTTGGAGAACCAGGATCCAGCGTTGGGGTTTAAATCCTTCCATTTGCAAACTCTAAAAAAAAAAAAAAAAAAAAAAAAAAAAGGCTAGTCACTGACCACAAACCCTCTATGCCCTGCCCTCCCTCACCACCCCTCAATACACACACACACACACTATCTCAGCCTTTGATTGCTTCACAAATTCTGGAAACAGCTCATACTACCTCTCCCCACTCAACTCCACCCAGCCCTACCCTACCCAATCCCCTGAAGGCAGAGCTCCCTAGGGAGAAGCACAGCCGAGTGAGCAGAGAAAATCCTTAGAGTGAGCCCAGCCTTGAGGAACCGGCCACTAGCGCGTGTCGCGGCCACTCATGGACACCCGACCATACAAAAGGAAGAACTCTGTCCCCTTCTCGTCATTCTGAAAGACTGTGAACCCTGGAGTCCTAAATCATCACACAGGAAGCTGAGGACTTCCTGTTCAATCAGGACGTTGAGCCTTGAGTTCATCAAAATTCGAAAAGCTCCAGAAACAAAGACTTCGTGGACAAAACCCCTGAGACCAGAGTAAGTGGTACTAGGTTTTTTTTCCTGTCTTGCCAGTTACCACTGAGGGCAATCTTGTTAGAAGACATATATGCAGCCAGGACTGTCGTCCTCGCACCGTAGGACATTCCTGAAAGGTGAGGAATTCTTCGAGGGCCAAGCGAATGTCTCATCAGCCCCTAGATGCATCTACAAGGCAATTAATTATATAGCAATACTGACAAGGGGTGAATTTATGAGACTGTGGGCTCAGATGTAAAACAGGGGTTTTCTTGCTAAAAAAGGAAAGCCTTTCTTGAATGGTTGTTGGTAACCGATTGAGAAAATCAGCCTTTCTAAAGTCTGTTAAGAAACAGGAGGCTCTCTGCGGAAAAACTATTCAGGAGGAACTCACTTGCCAAATTTCCCTATGTAAACAAAACCCAAACATGGTATATGAAGAAGTTGTAGCAAAAGGGAAATATTAATTACAAAAAACACTGCAGGTGCTAGTGACCAATTTCTTGAGAAGACTAGAACCAAGGAGCCTCACAGTCAGGACTGCTGATTTGTCTCTGGAGGAGGTAGGATTTTACCCTCCCGGAGACAGGGAGATGTCCTCTTGGGATGCATCCATTCCGTTCTACTAACAAAGAGGCAGGTCAGACTGTGTTCCAAAGGGGGGGGGGGCATGGGAGGGGTGGGGTGGGGGCTACTTGGAGGTATCTATTTCAACTGTTCCTTCATAGAAGAATCTGGAGTGCCCCGATTTTCCGAGTTAGAAGCTCTCAGAAGTTTGCATAGCTTGTCAGCCAGGCGGTCTACTACTCACTGACGCTTGAGTCCCCACTCCGACTGGGGGGACAGCTCTAGACTATTCAGCCTGTGGGAGGTGAAGGGCCGGTAAAGGTTTAGCCACTGGCCCTCATGGGAAAAAAAGAGCCCTGATTTCTAGTGTTTGTGGATTTCTGTGGCATCGACATCCCCACTGTGGTTGATTTCAAAGCTACCAAACCCCTGAATGCCGAGCTGGGGAGAGGTGGGCACGATCGGTTTTTACGAACCAGCGTAAGCCAGCCCCAGCATGCTACCAGGCTTGGGCGTCTTAGCCCCACAGACTGTCCTTTCTCTACTCAAAGCCCTCACCAGCCCCCAGGCTAGAGGATCCTGCTGATCACCTCGGGGCTGAGGTCTTGCCGGCCTCAGTTGCAGCACGGGCCTTCTGTCTCCCTGCAAGGCCCCTTCCTCCCCACCCCCACCCCATCCCTCTCCCGGACTTGCTTGCGGATTGTTGCCTGGCGCCTGGCAAGTTGGGAAAATAGCCAACGAAGTTGGAGGGGGTGGTGGTGAAGGCGGGTCTCTGTTCAAATGGCCCGGGGGCAATGCTGACTCGGTTTGCCCTCATCTTCGCCCCAATTCCCCAGGACCCCCGGGCTCATGGGCTCAGGCTTGCAGCAGCGGCTCCTTGCGCTGCCAAGCTTCTGGTCGCTTCCGCCGTAAATCTGCCGGCCTACCCAAAAGTGCTGTCTGCCAAGCCCACCTGCCCGTACTGGCAGTGGCAGCAGAAGTCAGAAATTGCCCACACAGCCTGGTTAGTGACTGCCAGCCTGGGTCCCTCCAGAAGGAGAGCCGGTCGGGTACAGGCAAGTCCAGAGCCGGACGAGTGAGCCACAGGGACGGATTTGACGGGAAATGACAGCTCCCCAGCCAGGATGCCGGGCAGCCCCCTGCCCTGTCCCGTGTGCCTTATTTTCCAACGGCCGCTGCACAAATGTGAATTTTGTAAGCTGGAAACATTCGCTAAGCAATTTAGAAGACTAGAGACTCCAGATTCAGGATGGGAGTGGTGACGTGGGCACCGGCTACTTGACTGAGGCCAGCCTGGGTCTGGCCTCAGAGAGGGGCCGGTGCAGGGAAGGAGGAACCCCAATATTTACCGAGGGCCCGAAAAATACCGAGGTGTCGCTTTTCTCATGCATGCATTACCTCACAGCAGCCCTGCAAGGTAGGTGCTACTTTCCCACAGTATAGAGGAGAACCTAAGGCTCAGAGAGGTAGATTAACTTATCCCAAGTCACATAGCCAGTAGGTTACGCCAAAGCCCGTCCATGCTCCCTTTGGGGAAGTGTCTTCAGGAAGGGATTGGAACAGACTGAAAGAGCCTGCTGACCATCAGGAACTGGGGGAAGTCCCACGAAGGCAAGCGATCCAGTGGCTGTTCTGTGTTTTTGTTTGTTTCAAGACAACCCTGGGTGCAAATATCTAAGAGCCAGACTGTACTTTCCTCTGAATCTTCCCACGGCTCTCACAGTTGCCTGTAGACCCACCTGTGCCACATCTGGGCTGTATGACATGAGCCAGGCTGACCCACTCTGCGTCCTCATCCACTAAGGGATGGAGCTGGCCTTCTAGAATTTCACTATGGCAGCGCTGTGGGTAGGATAATTTTTGCGTGGCAGGACATCCTTGGCCCTGCCTAACGAATGGCCAGACAGCAGCATCCCTCGTCTCCGGGCACCACCACCCCCCCGGAAAAAAAAAA